TTATTTTATATTGTAAGTAAAAAAGAAAAAAAATATATTGCATGAGATTTCTGACAATGTTTATGAGTAGGAAAGAAATATTTCAATAATTATTTTTAGAAGTAAGAGCTATAATTACACATGCACAGGTACATACACATAAAACCCACACATACAAGTCAAACCACATTACTGCGTACAATTACTGGCATGCACACAGATTATGGTTTTTGTCTGCCAGGACACCACACAAACACACCGTCTGCATACCATTATGGACACACCTGAGCGCTTAGCATGTCATGGCACTCACCCACAAATTTGTGTTCTACTCTCTGACTATAACCTCCTCCTCAGTCACCTCTCCCATTGCCCCAGCCCCAGAGAACCTGCCATTCAACCACCCCAGATTCCTTCAGGCACTCACCCTACCATCGCCATCACATACATAGGCCTACTAGATCACTCAAGCAGCCTGGACCCACAATGGGTGGTTTCATACTCTCCTCCATCCCTGGTTTCCATGACCTGGTGAGCTTCTGGCATCCAGATCCTCACTTAGAGGTCACTCCCGCTGCTACCACTTCCTCCTCAGCTTCTGTTTCAGCTTCATAAAAAATTGATCAATGAACATAAAATACCACAGAAAACTCACCCAATACAAATCTAGGATTCATGACAGTGAATAACTGCAATAGAACCATGGGGCTGCCAGAACATCCTTTTGGTCATAGCTTATTGGTCCTTTTCTAGAAACCCCACAGAGATGGAGCTGGACCTTATGTCTCCTCAGTTCCTCAATCCCTCCCAGCACCACGGTCCCTCCAGCCAGCGTCTCAGTTCCACTCTTAGAAGGTTGCGGTCATCCTGTGTAAGAGTGCCCCGATTTATGTAGCCCCCTCTGATCTTATTTCACCCTACCAGCTAAGACCTTCTCCTCTTTTCTTAAGTCAGCCCTTCTCTCTTATGCCAGGTGCCATCACTTCCTGTGTACCAGGTGCTTTGCCCCATGCTTCCCCTTTCCTTCAAAACATGGTCAGACAGCAAATGCCCACAAGGCACCTCTCACCAGCCCTCCTGTATTTTCATGCTGCTGCCCAAACTCTCCTTCCTCACTACACTGTAAAACTTCCCAAAATATGTCCTATCCATGTTGTCACCATTACCTTCCCATCTATTCTTTCCTAAATGATGCATAGTCTAAATGATTCTGCAGAAATATTAGATACAAGAAAAGCTCCTGGGCGTTGTGTGCAGCGTGGCTGGAATCCTCAGATCCCAGAGAACTAACAATTTGCCAAGATTCATGCTCTGCAGCAGCAAGAAATGCTTGAACAACCCTGGGGTACATGTATGTCACCAGGTGCTCTTTGCAGGTGGCATCCTGCCCCTGCTGGGGCCCAAGCAATTCCCCTACACTGTTTCCTCTAGTGCCTCAGCCACCACCATGCATGGCAGGCTGAGGAACTGAACCCCAACTGTGTTCAGCCCAAGGTCTGGCTGTTTTCCACCAGGCTACTGAACACCACTCCTAGCTGGCCTTCACCCTCTGAACATCCATCCTGGGGAACCCCTGAGCACCAAGCTGCTTTCTGAACCTTGAGTTTTCACTGACCAGCTCCTTCCTGCTCTGCCCCTTTTCCTGCTCCTCAGCTTAAATCTGATCACCTCGGTTCATAGCTTCCCACAATGCAAATCTGTTTTATGAAAAGGGGGAACAAGGCTACAGCTAATAAATAAGTAGGTTCTCCATATCCACTGGTGTCATATCTCCAAATTCAACCAAATATGTATCAAAATGTTTGGAGAAAGCAATCCCAGAAAGTTCCAAAAATGAAAACTTGAATTTGCCATGTGCCAAGCCCTATGCTGAAGACATACTAATAAAGTACACTGCAGGCTATATGCAAATACGTACTATTCCATTTCACAGAAGGGACTTGAGCATCTGCAGATTTTGGTATCTGCAGGGGGTCCTGCAACCAAATCCCTCCAGTTCCCAGGGAAGACTCCACGGTGAACCTGAAATCAGGGCACACACTCCGGCAGGTGCCGGTGCACTTACAGAAACAAACCAGGACTGCTGTCTCATGGAAGACTCTGTACCCACAGACTGCATAGATACAATGGAAAGTTACAGCTCTAGATAGGACACATAGAAATAAATACTTGTGATATGCGGTAAAAACATGACCAAAAGACTGGAAACCAGAAGAGTATAGACAACTGCAACAGAGAACTCAGATATGTAAGTCATCAGGCAAGGAATTCAAAACTTTGAATAACTATAATCAGCAATTTATTAGCCTTAAGCAGTCATGTTTTCCTCACAGGCCAGGTTCCTCATTTGTGAGAGGTTAAAATAGATAATTTTGGGTTTTGTGTACAGATGAACCCTTTCCAGCCCTTTCTGACTTGACTGGTACCCAGTGTTGGCTGAAACCGGTTAGGACGGAGGCAGCAGCAGGACAGTAACCCCTTCCCTCACTCATCCTCTCCTCCACCATTACCCACTCTGCCTTCTCTCTCCTACACCCTCCCTCTTCTCATTTCTGGTTTTTTCTCACTGTTCGTCTTCTTCCTCCCTCCATTTGGAGCTTCATTTTTCCATCTCAAGAAAGCAACCAAATTCTTCCCATCCTTTGGAAGTTGACAGGAAGAAACAGGTGTTAGTTAGTCCAGGAAGTGTTTGCTCCTCAAAGTGGTCTGAGAATGCCCACCTTGCAAATGGCTTCATTCTTGAAAACACTTGCAGCACCCAAAGAGAGGCACCAATAGGAAAGGATTGAAAACATTTGCACACTGATGGGAAGGACTGGAGGTCTGTCTTGGACTGTAGATGCTCCAGTGAAGGGCTGGGAGGCAACTTCCTAATAAACAAGGTGTATCAAGCACACACATTTATTTTCCTCCTCCCTCTAAATAATAGAAGGGATCCGGGGAAAGGGGCACAGACACACAGCTGTAAGGACAACAGGAGATAGGCAAAGACCATCTTAGAGATAGAGACAAAACTGTGGAAGATGGAAAGGAAATGAACAATGGAAAGGGACTGAGCCATCCAGACACAGCCTGAGCCACATAGGGGAATGTCTGAGCCAGACACAAGCAGGTTCTCACTGCAGAGCTCCAAACTACCTCAAGCACGAGCAACTCCAGAAACTGATGGAGAGGAGACTGAGGCATGCGGCTAAAGCCAGAGGACTGATGGTGATCCATCTGAGGAGCAGTCAGACTGTCCCCAGACCCTTCCCTCTCACTGTGCTCCACCCTGCAAGACAAGCTACTATCTGTCCTCCCCCAGAGCAAAGGCTCGAGCTCGACTCTTAACAGCAACCCACTGAGAGAGACCATGGTGGTCGCTAGCACATGAGGCCCAGCTGAGAACCGGAATGCAGGACCTACACTGAAAACTTGGGTTCAAAGTTCACATATTGGGTTTGAGACTCTCTTGCTCCCTTCTCATCCTTGGTTCAGGAATTCTGGCATCTAAGCTTAGTCTGGCATCTGTGTTTGACAGAATAATGGCCATCCAAACTCCTGGATTTTGTAAAAATGTTGCCTTACTCAGCAAAGGCTCTTGCAGATGTGATTAAATGAAGGATCTTGAAATATACAGTACTATTTTTGCAATTTGAAGTCAGGAATTAGTTCAAAACAAATTTCTTAATGGAAGAGTAATTATTCTTCCTCCCCCTGCCCCTTTTTTATATTAGTCAAAGACATGTATAACTATCAAAGCTTTGCCACTCACAACATTACTGTATAGCCAGTCCTGGTCAGAGGGCTCAGTTGGTTGGAGCGTTGTGCTGTACACCAAAAAGGTTGGGGGTTTGATTCCCCGTTAGGGCACATACCTAGGTTATAGGATAGATCCCCTGTCAGGGTGTGTTCAGGAGGCAACTGATAGATGTTTCTCGCTCACATCAATGTCTGTCTCTTTCTGTTTCTCTCTATCTCCCTTTCTTCCTCTCGCTCTAAAATCAAAAAATATATCCTCAGGTGGCAATTTAAAAAAAAATTACCATATTGCCACATTACCATATTACCAAATTGAGTTAATGTAAACTTAGCCTAAAGCAACAAAATTTGACCTTTTAGTTAGCCCATGTGATCTTATTAAAGATTGGTCTTTTCCACCCATACATTCCTCCCCACAATTATCGCCTTTTTCCATGTTCGTAAGCTCTCTCTTTTTAAAAAATTATTTTATTGTTTTTCAATTATAGTTGTCTGCATTTTCCCCCCACCACTCCCTCCACCCCAGCCAAACCCACCTCCTTTCCTTGCTTCCACCCTACCCCTTGGTTTTGTCCATGTGTCCCTTGTAGTAGTTCCTGAAAACCCTTCCCCCCATTCCTGCCATCCCCCAAGTCCTCACCCACCGCCCCTCCCCTCCACACGTCAGCCTGCTCTCTCTGAGTCTGTCTCTGTTTTACTTGATAGTTAAGTTTGTTAATTAGATTCCACTTATGAGTGAAATCACATGCAAGAGGCTACAGGTGGAATAAATGGTGATGGAAAACAAGCAAACAAACAAAACAGTACTGCCATTTAGGAAAGACTGCAGACACCAAAATACTAAATAAAATTTTACCTAATAAAATCTATACTATACTGAAACTAATGTGATCAAGTCATATTTGACTCAGACTTAATATTTTTTTTATTAAAATAGATTTCTACTAAATTATGCATCAAAGGAAATAAAAGCATTTGAAAAAAATTGGTTTTCCTTTGTTTGAAATATGAAACTACACCCTGGTTGGTGTGGCTCAGTGGATTGAGCACCAACCAGCATGCAAACCAAAGGGTTCCTGGTTTGATTCCCAGTCAGGGCACATGCTGGGGTTGGGGTCCACATCACCAGTTGGGGGCATGCAAGAGGCAACCAAAAAAAAATGAAACAGCTCATAGACCTCATTATCATAATTTAAGAACATGAGGTCCTGCATGTGTAATTCATGTAAATGGAATCCAAAACATTTTTGATAATGTGTTTATTCTTTTCTTTTCTTAAGGTTAAACCACAGCTTGAAGAAAAAACAAATGAGACTTACGAAGAATTTGAAGCTGTAGAATACAAAACTCAAGTGGTTGCTGGAATAAATTACTACATTAAGGTTAGACTTCAACATCCACTTTGGCACTAAGAGGCTGTATTTCTCACTTTATGTGATGCTCCCTGTCATCTCTACTATATAATTTCTTCCTTTACCTTGTCCTAAATCAAGATGCCCACCTAGCATACTTCCCAAGTAGTAAACTCTCAAATTTATGTCAGTGTATTTATGTCAGTGTATTTATGTCACCTTTTGATGTGGACCCCGGCCCTCAAAGTCTGTGTGTTGTGGCTTCAAGAGACAAATTCACCTGGACTACAGAAGTCCTGAGGAGATAAAGGGACAGCATGGCCACTGTCTGAGTGAGAGAGGACCCCAGACCCTGCCTGGACAGGCTTTTATTGCTTGCTGAGTACATTACACTGAGGATGGTCCTCATTTACTATGCACAGGTTCGCTGTAGGTGATTACCTTTTTCAGATAATGAAAGAAAGAATGTTGCTAATTACTTCAAAGAGAAGAATGTTACAGATCAAGTGGTTACAGAAAAGTGGTTGAACTGGTTACACTCCATACTTGGGAGGCTTAGCACAGATTTTAGGAAGTTACTTTAGAGATATGCAGTAAGCATTTGCTGCTTCAGTCCAGGGTGAAGGAGTTTTAGCAAAAGCAAGTCTCGAAACAAGCAGCCTAGGTACAATGCAGGCCTGATTCCCCATGGGAGAACCTGTCGGTGGGTGTGGGTCTGGTGTGCCAGACTTCGCTCCCACTGGCTTTTCCAAATAGGGGCTAGGCTACATTCCCCATGCTATGTGGAATGGTTCCCTATAACCTTTCTTGTGTTAATTTAGAAAGACTTCTTCTATTGATTCTTAGCTTAATTTTCAGAAATTGTACAGAAAAAGATTTCATAAAAGTTCAGATCATGTTTAGCCTGTGGCTATGGCTACTTCGCATGTGAACTGGGAGCCTGAAGGCCTGGGCTGGCGCAGAAGCTCTCTTGAAGCTTATCTCACCTCGAAGCATTGTGCTTCTATGAGTCTAAATGAGTGGATGTAAGGAATAACTTCAATCGTTGACTGGGAAAGTAATTTAAACCTCTTTTGCCCATTTTTGTTTTGATTAATATGATTAAAAACTTTTTGCAACTCAAATAGATTCAACTTGTGGCACTGAAGGTATATTATAAAGCAATGAAACATTAAAATTTTTTAAATTAATTTTATATCTATGTCAAAAAATTAAACAATGTATTGTTCCAGTTCCAACTGAAGAAAAAAGCTTGTGTACTTACTGAGAGGAAACCAGTTCGACAGACAAATCCACTCTGCATATTTGGGAGTCAGTTTTGCCCTTTTGTATTGAGAGGATAATTCTGATTTAGTAAATATAACACCAGACATTCAAATGCATTTACTTGATGTTTACTAAATAATTTAACTGAGGCACAGTCTGGCTTATTTCTTTTTAAGAAAAAATTAATTATAAGATATAAATTTTTTCTAAACAGTTTTTAACAAAGAAAATAAAATAAGTGGTGCTAACCAGCTCAGCATGAGAAAATCACAATACTGAGTTATGGAAGTGGATGGACCCAGTTCTACCAAGTGGAGCTGTGAAATATGCCCGGCCCTGGGGTGTGTGCAGGGTGTGGGGCCCTGGGGTGTGAGAGCCTCCTCGTGCTCAGAAAGCAGCCTGCTCTCTTCACAGCTGGAAAAGAACTCCTTCCAAATAAAACATGATTTTGTTTAGTAACAAGCATTCCATCAAAATTAGGGTCATTATTTTAATAATTTACAATTAATCTAAGTGTGTAACTTTCACATATTGATTAGCTCATAAGTTTCTTTAAAAATGCATCAGAAAACTATCTTGAGAATGTCTTCCCTAAAGATCACCTGCCCAGTCTTAACCACAGCCACTCCTCTTCCCTTTCCTTTTCTCCCCTACCCTTTTCTCCCCTACCTGCTTTCCCTCCCTTCTCCTTCCTTCTGTTACAAATGTCTCCTACTGGACTATAGCCACTGACTCCAGTTCCCTCAGACTTCCTATCAGCCTAGCTGTTAGTCCCTTTGCTCTGAGTCACTCTAGATGGAAGGTGTGGCTGGTAACGTGACCCTCTCTGCTCCTTCTCAAGGGCCTATCAACAGGCAGGTGGTAAAATGGAAGGATTGTAAACTTTGGTCCTGGCTTTGAACCTTTGTTTGACTTGTTCTACTAGTCAAAACCTGTGTGATTGCAGCTCCTCATCTCCTCTGAGCCACCATTGCTTTATCTACACAAAGCAGACAATAACCTACTCTGCATGGTGTTGTGTGGAACAAAGGAGGCCAAAATTTCCTGAGCTCAGAGAATGTACCAGGCACTGTTCTAAGAGCTGGGTGTGTATTATCTCATTTAATCCTCTCCACAAATCTATTGGATAAGTATGATTCTTTTTCTTCTGTTACTGATCAGACAACTGACTCCCCAGGAAGGTGAAGTAACAGAGATCAGACAATTATAAAAGGAGAAGCCCGGGAGTCTGATGCTTAACTACTGGCTCTAATAATGTATGCAAAGGCTGGTGCCCTGTTCCAAGCACAGAATGAATAGTTTTAATAGGTTACACAATAGAGCATGGGCATCAAACTCATTTTCAACAGGGGCCACATTAGCCTTGTGGTTGCTTTCAAAGGGCCAAATGTAGTTTTAGGACTATAGATGTAATTACTCCTGAACAGTTGAGTGAAAGCTCAGCACTGCTGCTGGGTAGAAACAGGGTGCCGGGCCAGAGACAACAAGGTGGAGGACTGGATTTGGCCCGTGGGCCTTGTGTTTGCCACCTGTGCCATAGAGTGAAAAGGACATAAGTGTTGAAATCTGAATTTGAGTTTTAGCTCTGTTCCTGATTAGCTGAGAGATTTATAGAAAATTATTGTCCTTAATCTCTCTGAATCTGCTTCAGCATCTATAAAATCATCATTGTTCCACATTTTTCAGGCCCATAATAAGAAATAAATAGAATCAAGTATATAAAATGCTCATCATAGTGTTTGACACAGAAGAAACATTTGATAAATGGCATTTTTTTTAAATTAGGTTAGCAGCCCTGGCTGGTGTGGTTCAGTGGACTGAGTGCCAGCCTGTGAACCAAAGGGCCACTGGTTCGATTTCCAGTCACAGTACATGCTTGGATTGCAGGCAGAGTTCCCAGTTGGGGGTGCGTGAGAGGCAACCACACATTGATGTTTCCCTCTCTTTCTCCTTCCATTCCCCTCTCTAAAAATAAATAAATAAATAAATCTTTTAAAAAACTAAACTAAAATAAAATTATGTTAGGAAGGGTCATCAGAATACACTAAATATTATTCTAAGCACAACTGTATCGTCTCAACCAAGATCAAAAATAGAAATTCCTACTCAAACTGCCATTTCAATCTTCATACCAATAACCCCCCAGCAAGATCAGTTTACCTTAAAAGGGAGACCAGACTGTCCATCCCTGGGCCCTGCTCAGTCCTATCAGTGGGCATTTATAAAACAGGTTATAATATACACATGAGAACCACAAATCTCAAATTTTCTAGGACAATTCTGCTTTTCTTCTCCCTTCTTAAATCATGTTGCAAATAAATTGTCCCAGTTTGAGAGTCAAAAAAAAGTGTCACTGTGCCTCTGTACCTCTTTGAAAATGAAATGCACCTACCTCATTTGTGCCCAAATTGTATTAAAATATAAAATAAAATATGCTTAGGACCTATGTAACTTTCCATACATTTAACCTGCCATTTCTCTCATACAATAAGGTGATAAATTTTTGAAAACCAAGTGTCCAAGAATGCTGGTCTAGGTATATTGTTCCAGAAAAGCTTATTGTAATGAGGTCTTTTATGGTTTTATGCATAATTTTTTGGTTTTTCTTTATTTTTATTGTTTATACTATTACTGATATCCCCTTATTCCCATTTTTCACTTCCTCCTGCCCTCACCCCCCACACCACACTGTTAGGTGTCTATATGTCATGCATATACATTCTTTGACTAAACCTTTCACCTTCTTTCATCCAGTCCCTCCTTCCTGCCTCTCCTGACAGCTGTCAGTCTGTTCCATGTATTTGTGACTCTGTTTCTATTTTGTTCATCAGTTTATTTTGTTCATTAGATTCCACATATAAGTGAGGTCATATGCCCTTTGTCTATCACTGACTTGCTTATTTCACTTAACATAATAATCTCCAGGTCCATCTGTTGCAGAACAAACAAGGGGGGCCTGGGATGATATACTATTACTGAAAGAAGCCCCCAGGTCCGTTATATCTGCCGCCAGAGGAAAGACGTCTCTCAATGTCAGAGATTTGTGAAAAGGAAAGGAAATGTTTATTTAATGCTATACAAACTTAAACTAGTAACCTAATGTCTTCATCAAAAAATCCTAAAATCTCTTAAAACACCCACAAACACACACAGTCCTTCCTTCCCTCTTTGCCCAGTCCAGAGTACCATATCTCAGGAAAGAAAATAGATGTCCATGGCTCAGGCAGTCCTCTGATTATTCCCATCCAGTACTCCGTCTCAACTGGGAGACCTCCCTGGGTTCATGGCACCCTCAGCTGTATCGCTGGGATCTCTGCTAAAACCAGGTGGTGGTTCCCCCTTCTAAAGCTTCAGGGGTCCCTACTCTGGCAAAGGCACATGGTCCTCTCCCCCAGGGCCACGGGAGTCCCCACTCAGCCAAAACCGTGTGCTTCTTCTCCACAATGGCTGCCATGTCTGGGTTTAAATCCCCGCGCCAATCTTCCTCTGCAGCCCCATTTCCGACTCCTCCTACACTTGGCCACACTTGCCCTCAATCTGCTGTCTTTTCCAGCTTTTCTGGTCACCATCATGGATCTGGGCAGGTGTGACCCCATGTAATGGAGCCAGTCTTCTCCAAGCTCCCACGCAGGTGCTGTAACTCGGGAGACCTGCCCCCCCCAGTCATATCTTGTGGGGGGAGGTCCCTTTCCATCCCCCTGGCCTAGAGCATGGCCATAGCTATTTAGCATATCTAAGTGACCAGCCAAAGGCTATAGGTATGTTAAATGACCATGCCATGGATTAGCTGCAAAGCTGCCCTGCATGTTCTTGCTCTGTGTGCCCCTTCCCCCAACTCATACCTATGGGGGAAGGGGTGGAAACATCTTAAAATCTCCTAAACACCTTGGGTTCTGGACCCCATTTCAAATGCCCATTTGGGGTCCCCCCTCTTGGCTGCACCCTGTAACACATCCATGCAATCGCAAAACATTCCTTTTTTTATGGCATGTAAAGGTCTATGGATTCTCACTTGTCATAGATCCATGCAAATGAATCTCCATTTTCTTTCTTTTATCTTTCAGGTGCGAGTAGGTCATAATACCTACATTCACATGAAAATATTCAAGCCACTTCCTCAACAACAGCAGTCTTTGACTCTTACTGGTTATCAGACTGACAAAAGCAAGGATGATGAACTGACCGGCTTTTAGTGGCGTGTTACAAAAGTGGTCTGCTTCCTTCACTGGCTACTGATTAATGATTCCTGTGAATAAATGCAACTACCAATAAAAAAACATTTTTAAAATAAATTAATCTCTTCAACTGTTTATTGTATTAAATAGTAATTACCTTTTCTTTCTCAAAATCAATGTTATTGCTTTAGAGCAGAAGTTCCTTACAAATTGATATCAATTGGAAATCTTATAAAAATTAGTCAGGCCTGAGTAATTGTTCTTTTTTAAAAAAACTTTTATTTATTTTCAGAGAGAAGGGAAGGGAGGGAGAAAGAGAGGGAGAGAAACATCACTGTGTGATTGCCTCTTGCAGACCCCCTACTGGGGACCTGGCCTGCAACCCAGGCATGTGCCCTGACTGGCAATCGAACCAGTGACCCTTTCATTCTCAGGCTGGTGCTCAATCCACTGAGCCACACCAGCCAGGGCCAAATGTTCTTTATCAATTGTATTATCATGAGATCCATAACCAAAACTTGATTTTAAGTTCTTCTCATCTAGAGACAGACATTATTTTACTCTGATGCATTTGCAAATAGCTTTCATCTTAGAAAGCCACGGAAAGAGATATTTCAAAAATAGGGTGGATGGATTTGTCAGTCCTTTGCCAACTTTTGGGTGGCAACCCAGTTGTCGAGGTATTAAATTTGACTGTCCTAGCTTCACAAATGAAGTCTGTACAAGCCCAGAGGTGTGGTTCCAGAAGCAATTCAGAGCCCATCAAATCCTTTTACCTTCCCCAAACCTCCCCTATTCATCTCAAAAGGCTTATAAGTAATTGGCTCTATGAAACCAAATCCTTCTTGGAGGAGCTGGCTTCCCCCTCCCCATACCTTTGAAAAGCAAATACCTGGTTTCTTTAAGAACTATCTGGCCCATCTATTAAAATGCAAGTTTCTGGGAGACAAAGCTTATCAAAGGGAGAAAAAACCTTAGCCATCTGAACAAATCAGTTTAACTTACTTCAGCTATTGCTTTCTAAATTACTGAGCCTCACTCTATAATACCTGTTTCACAGAAGTATCTTTTTTTCTCTTAAGTTTATTGAGTTTATTACGGTGACTTTGGTCTATAAAATTATACAGGTTTCAAATATACAATTCTACACCATCTGTATATTGTACTGTGTGGTTTCTGTCCCAAGGCAAATCTCCTTCCACCACCCAGGAAGTGCCAAGTTCCATGTGGGTTCTAGAGAGACAAACAGCTTACCAAAGCAGGGAACTCCTGCCAGCTGTGAGCAGCCAAAGCCTTGTCAATCTCTGTCGTGGGCACCAACTGAAGGTGAGTCAGGAAGCAGGTCAGAATTGATAAACCTGTGGAACAACTGAAGCAGGTTCTGAAATTGCAAACAGAACCTGTATTTGGCCCTGGTTATCATTGCTTACCTATCTGGGTTTAAATATAATCCACACAACCCTAGTCATGACCTTCAATTTTCCACCTAGAAATTATTATCTTTTTCTACCCTTGTAACAGGGTGCAGCCAAGAGGGGGGCCCCAAATAGGGATTTGGAATGGGGTCCAGAACTCAAGGTGTCCAGGAAATACTAGGATGTCCTCACCCCTTCCTCCCACAGGTGTGAGTTGGGGGAAGGGACACATGGAACAGGAACATGCAGAGCTGTTTTGTACAGCAAGAGCTTTGCAGCTAACCTCTGGCATGGTCATTTTGTTGATGGGAGAGACCTGGTTCTTCTTGCTGATACATGTAAAGAATTACATATCAGCAAATCTAGTAGTATGTAATCAGTTTACTAGTGGCTCACTTCCATGGAAGAGAATAGGACCGGGTAGAGTAGGGGGTGAAAGGGAAAGTTTCAGGGCAAAGCAGGGTGAAAAAAGCAAAAGAGGCTGGAGACCGGGGTGGCCAGAGGCCCTGTGGCCGAGAGCCAAGCACCCCCCAGAGAGAGAGAGAGAACATCCTGAGCTCCCAGGAGGGAGAGGGAGAGAGTCCTTTGTTCTCAGGACTTATATAGTTGGTGGGATAGGAGGGAAAAAAAAGTTACATATTGATTAATGGGTAAACATGGTGCCAGCTTTCCTGGGGGAATGTGACTATCCAAATTCTTATTTTGCTCCAGACCCCATTTGGTCATCTTATTGTAAAACAAATACCTGACAGTTAATTAAAATTGAGGCACTTTCCAATCCCTGGCTGGTGTAGCTCAATGGATTGAGTGCGGTCTGGAATCCAAAGTGTCCCAGGTTCGATTCCCAGTCAGGGTACATTCCTGGGTTGCAGGCCATAACCCCCAGCAACCGCACATTGATATTTCTCTCTCTCTCTCTCTATCTCCCTCCCTTCCCTCTCTAAAAATAAATTTAAAAAATAAAATATTTTTTAAAAAATTGAGGCACTTTCCAAAGTTATTTATGGGCTCTTTCTGTGAGCATCAGGGACTCCCTCCTAAAATAGATAGTGACCAGAGGTAGGTAATTAACCAAAGTTATTTATGGGCTCTTTCTTTGGGCCCTGGGACCCTCTCCAACATTCAGGCCTTGGGATGAAAGCACAGTTTCAAGGCTTTCTTTCTTGTTAATATAGTGTTTCTTGTGATATTGAAACACCTGGCAATATTATCAGAACAGGCTTAGGACTGTTGAGTTAGCATGTGAGACTTGTCTCCTTCCTCCTCCCTGCCTCAGTTTACTATTTATTCTACCTAATTGGTAAAAGGTGTTTCCTGGCAACCAGGGTGCTAAATGCTGGCCAGTGACAGTATTGCAGTCTCAGAGTTCTTCCTATGCTGTCTTCTGCTTCAATTTAACATATCTACAACCTTTAACTAGTCACATAGATATGTTAAATAGCTGTGGCCATGCTCTGAGCCAGAGGGATGGAAAGGACTTCCCCCCAAGATGGAACTGGGGGCGGGCAGGTCCCCCAGGTGACAGCACCTGCGTGAGAGCTTGGACAAGATTGGCTCCATGACATGGGGCCACACCTGCCCATTCTCACGATGGCAGCCCAGTAAACTTGGAATAATACAGGAATGCTGACAGGTGTAACTGATCGTAGGAGGAGTCAGAAATGAGGGTACAGAGGAAGATTGGTGTGGGGATTTAAATCCAGACACAGCAGCCATTGGAGAGATATCCACGTGGTTTTGCCAGAGTGCAGACCCCCAAACCTTAGGTGAAAAGGGAACCAGGCAGCTTTGCCAGCGTGGGGAATCACCATGGGGCTTTTGCAGAGAACCGCCACTCAGCTTTGGCAGAGCAGCTACCCCCACCTCCCCACAGCTTTGCCGAGAAGAACCATGCAGTTTAGGCCAGAGTGGGGACCCCTGCAGCTTTGGTAGAAGAGAACCACGCAGCTTTAGAGTGCTCCCTTTGGCCACGTGGCCTGGGAAGCAAGAGAGATTTTGCCTGGAGTAAGGGTGAAAGAACTCTTGCCAGTAGGCCATGAGAAGGTGCCACATGGCTTTGGATTAATTAGAGATCCTGCCTGGACAGCGACACAGCTGATGGTGCTGGCAGCCTGAAACACAGATGTTTGCTTCTTTTCCTGAGATACGGTAAGCCAAATTAGGGCAGGGGGAGAAGGAAGCACTGTGGATATCCAAAGAGACTTTGGTATTTTAATGAAGACATTAGGTCACTACCTTAGGTCTGTATAGCTTTAAATAAACATTTCCTTTCCTTTTCACAAATCTCTGGCATTGAGAGATGTCTTCCCTAAGGTGGCGCACTATCGAACCTAGTGGGGGGTCCTTTTGGCAATAGTATATCGTACCCCTGTGTGTGTGTTCTGTAACACCCTGAGATATTCTAAAAAGGATTTAAATTAATTGGGGAACTGAGAGTGGGAAAACTTTAGCTTCAGGTAATAGTTAATAAGCCTAGTAGTTAATGTATATGAAAAGCTATTGTTTCAAGAACTGCAGGTACAACCCACCCTGACTCCAGGAGACCACAAGAGATTAACCTTTGTGCTCCAGGAGAGCCCATAAGCAATCAAGGTTGTATCTGACCATTTGTTCCAGGGAGAGACGATTGGCAGTCCAGGACTCAGATAAAGAAAATCGCCCAGGACCCAGGACAAGAATGAACAAGAAAATCACCAGTCACTGGATGTTTGGAAAATTGCTGGAATGCAGCTTTTATCTGATTAACCTCTTTCCTGAGTCCCAAATCCCTTACCTACACTTTTGCCCCTTTTTAAAAACGGCTGGCTAGAAAGGAAATGTAAGACAGTCAGGGTACAAACCCACCGTCTTCTCAGATTCCTGGCCATCTCAATAAAGCTCCCGTAAAGATTCAAGTCCTGTCTCTGCTTATCGGGTCTGGTAGATGCCAGGCAGCCAGAACCCTGGCTTTTCCAGTTTCAAAATCACCACGCCTAGGTTATTAAATCACAGCCACAAGATAAACTTGCACCATATGTAATGGAGAATATTGGGACTGGAGGAGGGAAAAATAAGAGTAAGAACTAAAAAACAAATAAAGCTACAGTGAGGTTATTAGACTAAATGCTGGCTTCTCTAAAATAAAGTAGGATTAGTTGACAGAGGCAAAGCCTGCCAATTTGGCTTTTAAGGTCATTGAAGCCAAAGCAAAGACAGAAACAAGACCAGTTATGCAATTCTCCATGAATTGCATAATTGATAAGCACAGCCATTTCCTGACAGCAAGGCATGATGGACACGTCTCCCATGGTCTCCAAAAAGGGCTGCCTTCAACAGACCCCTGCAGTAAATGTGAGACAGAAGGGCAAGTCCAGAGCTTGGGCTGCCTGTCACCACTCGGCCAAAAAGCGGAGACAGGGATTGGATTGTAATTGCACTTTTATTCACATTAGAGGCCAGCAGTTTGAGAAGGTACCAGGTTAAAACCCTAACATCCACCTTTACCTAGAGCTTACAGAAGCAAGTTTATATAAGGGAAGTATGGGAATTTGGGAGGGGGAAATCCCTAGGGAGAGCACAAACAGGCTGTTTTTCTTGGGAGGGGTAGCTGAAAGAGAAGTCTGCAGCTTCTTCCCCAGCTGGCTCCTTTGTTCCAGTGTGATCTTTCATTTGCATTAGAATTCCTCTTCCTCTCTCCCCCAAGGCCTGTGAGGGGTATGCTTT